AATAGCGTATTTTTCACATATTAACAATTTCTTTGAATTTATACAATCATAAACCCATTGAGGTTGAACATATACACGTGTTGGATAACAATTGTCAACAGATGGTCGATCAACAATTTGATGTGTGATACGTTCATAATTTTCCTCATATGGTGAGCCCATACCCATACTACTATCCCAACCAACCTTTCCACCAAAAGCTTTAATTATAAATTCCAATGAATATTTTGGTACTTCACGAGATAAATAGAATACACATTTGGAAAAAAGTTGTTGTAGTTCTGTAATAGCTGCTGAAACTGTTTGATATGTGAATACTTTGGTATCATCATCATTCTTCTCTTTTTGAGAATTGGAATTGGTTTTGGTTTGATCTACAAACTCATCCAATGCCTCCTAGAAATATATATTATATATTTAGAGAAAAAATCATTTTCCAAAAATCATTTTTCAAAAATTTTTTTTTAGAAAAAAATAGATATAACATACAATTTCTTCATTAGTAGTAATATCTTCTTCATCTTTTAAAAGATCTATTTTTGGTGGATAAACTGAATTTGTATCTGAATATAATTTGAAATTAACAAAACTAACCAAAGTCTGATAAAACTCTAAAAATGTCAACATAACACGAAAATCAACATCATCCGGGACCTTTTAACAAAAAATTATTATTATCTAAATTAATTTGTTATTACTTATTATAAATTTCAAATAAGAACTTACTCGTTGACTAAATTGGTAAGGAACCAACCAAGTTATGGTTTGTCCTTTAATTTCTACTTGATAATAAATCCCTTTGATTGAAAGAAAAACTTTACGAAGACATTTGCTTTTTATTACATACTGCTGAAATTCTGAGCATAAACGTTGACAATTTCTAACAATTTCTACTTTGATTTTGTCAGTAGCAGGATAGGTACCAAATAAAAATATCATACAAAGTGCATCATCAAGATCTCTTAAAGCATCAGTGAATGTTGGATATCTTTCTTTGATAATATGATCTAAAGTATAAACAGGTCTGTTTTTTTCTAAATTATTTGCAACGCTGAATTGACGTTTTCCTAAAGCTTTACTTAACTTTCTTAGAAAAATTTTATTTTCTCTAAGTTTTCTAAGAATGGGCTCATGTGCAAGATATTGTATATCTTTAGTATAATAAAATGTAGTAGGTGCTGTTGATCCTCTATTGGCTTTCTTTTTATTTTTAGGTTCTCTAGGATAAATTCCTTTAAGAATACATAGTCGCCTTTTTTTAATTAATTAGATATTAATATGTTAATATGTTAAAAATATTAAAATGCATTATCATTAACTTTTTTTCTGTGAAAAAAAAACCACCTAAAATCAGCAAGTGACAATTGTAGCTTTTTTACAGCTCGATTTCTGGTAATGTAGTTAGTGGCAATACCCGATTCACCTTTTTTCTTAATTTTCCCCATCGATTTTAAAAATTTTTTTTAAAAAAAAAACCGTATCACGCACGGTAGATTTACGGATCTGCAATTTTAACACAAAAAAAAAGATTGAACATTTGCCGTGTCACGATCTTCGTAAGTCGTGCGACTTTCGCGCAGGTTTTTTGGCCGATTGTCTCTTTACGAAATGCTTCAATCATGCCTATACATTCATTTTGCAAAGCTGGATTGCAAGCTCCATAGATCTTGACTTTAGTGATTACTTCGATCAAACCCGCCTATATGATTATTTAATACCCTTATTATTATTATTATTATTATATCAAAATCTCCAAATTACAAAGCTTTTGCCTATAATATCTTGCCGAAGAACGATGACCAATACAAGCACACTAACTTCACTTCATATTGAAATATCATATTCCTAATCAATATTTAATTTTTATTTCAGATATTTTTATTAACGGATAGATTATTTATTTATTTATTTATAAAGAAATATTTAACAAACAAAAATACCCCAAATGCCTTTTGGCAATTCATCATCATCATCATCATCCTTATCTTCTTCATTATCATCAATGTGTTCGTTAGAGTAACTAGATCTAAAATCATAATAATCGAATATTTCCATATTATCTATCATCTTTTTTGATCTTTATTAATCTAATGATAAACTTTGATATTTATATGCTGGTAAAAAAAAAAATCTGCCGTGTGTTTTCGAGACTTTGAAAGCTCTTTCCACGTCAGTTAAAAAATAACTGCACACATTGCCAACTGAAATCTTCAAAATATAAAGAATTTTTTTATGACATAATTTTCAATTTGTCTCTTCCGAAAATCTATACTGATAAAAGAAAATCGTCACGCGAAACATAAAATAATTTCTATTTTTTTTTTTTTTAAAAAATTATGAAAAACAATTTAACGCGTACAAATAATGAAGTTGATAATAACCTTTTACTACCACAACCAGTAGCAAAAAGGCAAAGAAAACAAGAAAATGCAGTGGATCAAATAGCTACCACCACTTCAAATTTCTTAGATGTTATAGATTTAACAGAAGAACAAAAAAAGATTGTATTACAACGTATGCAAGAAGTAAAAGCAAGATATCAAACTTTTGTAGAAAAAGATTCAAGCCAAAAGGCAAGTTTATAATAATAATAAAATTAATAATAATAATTGTATATTTTATATTATAAAAATAACAAAAGAGTTTGTATAATATGTTTATTTTTAATAGATTCAGGCTATCTTATTTGCCTCGGATCTTGTAGAAGAAGAAGCAAGATTGGCTTTATCGATTTGTAATTACAATGAACAAGAAGTTCTTAATAAATTATTTGGAAAAAATGGCAACCAATTTCGTAAATTACTAAAACCTGCTTCACAAGATATAGATTCAAACAAACATATTGATCAGTGTGCAGAACTTCAAATAAATGATCATAATGAAGACGAAAATGATAACAACAACAACAATATTGATTATGATGATGTTGATGTTGATAATGAGAGAGATTTTGATTCTAGTGATTTTGATAGCATTGATGAAAACATTTCTTCTTTGAATTATATAAAGTTTCCTTTAGATTTACCATCAACCACTACGACAGTGATTAGTATTGGCACTTATCATAAGTCTCCTACTTGGTGGTCAAATCCTGGTTCATTATATCATCATCCAATTCCTATTAATTATAAAGCCACACGCATCGAATGGAATAAGATTTTTGAAATGACGATTGAAGAAGATCAAAATACAGGAAATCCGCTTTTTAGAGTTACAGCAAAAGGAACAAATTCTACCTTTATTGGCTCTACACCCACCAAACCATGGACTTCAGTCTGTGTTTCGTATAAAAAATCTAGAGGTATAAATATAAAGTTTTTTTAAAGGAAGGTTTAAATCATTGTTATAATATTATATTCAACATAATTTCTTATTATTAATTGAAATTTTAGCAACACGTATTTCAGGACCTTTGTATTTTGGATTTTCTGATGTATTATTGCAGAAGTTATTGACAAAAATGGTGCAAGATAGCGATCCTGAAGAATACTATTATAGATTTGTTGGTGAAGGAGAAATTCTTTGCACAAATAAAGAATGGAACGAAGATGAAAGAAATTTATTGTTAACAGAAATTCATCAACATTGTAAGAATATTCGATCAAATACTTCATCATCATCATCATCATCATCATCATCATCATCATCATCGCCTAACATCAATGATGATTACAATAATAAGAGTGATAGTGGAACCATATTTCCATTTGGACTTGTTTCACAGAATATTTTAAATCGAGCAGGATTTCAATGTCAATATGAATACAATCGTCTAGTTACTACAGGTCAAATAAATGAGATTGATAATTGCCCAGTGAAACCATTACGTGTCAATTATGATAAGTTTGTTAAACAGCTAGTATCAAATGGTCAAATGAAAAGAGCAAGAAAATATTCTGGAAAAAGTGATAAAGATCTAATTAATATTCTTAACAAGTATGGCAGAGTTGGTAATAATAGTATTGATTTGATTGATAATAAATTTGGAATTAATTTTAATCCTCTGAATCCTGTTCTGCACCTGAAAGATGCTATAACTTTGGAAGAAATGAAAGAACCTACAATTTCTCCTGATGGGTAATTTTATTCAGATATATATTTGATTGTTCTGATTGTTGGTTTGTTTAAATCAATTAATTGTTTTTTTTTAAAAAAAAAGATATGTATGTGATTATCAAACTTGGATCAAGATTCTTCGTGATCCTGATGCCAAAGATACTTGTCCGTAAGTTGAAATCGTCATTATTGATAATAAATTATCAAAAAAATTTTTTTTATCAATTTCAATTAACTAATTTTATATTTAAAATTGTGTAGATTTACCAAAAAACATTTATCACGTCGTCAATTGGTTAAATTAACATATGATAACATTGACCAATACATTGATAAAATACGTGAATTATAATAATAATGATAACAATGAAAGTGTTAACGATGTTGTTGACGACGACGATTTGTTAAATTTTATTATATATTATTTATATAAATAGTATATAATACACAATAGTAAATAGATTCTTATATATTTATTAGATAATAATGATATAATTATTTTTGGTTGCTGGTAAATAAATTCATTTTTGTTAAAGAAAAAAACCACCACAAAGAGTTTAAAAAGGATTGCCCTTATTTTTCATTTTATTATATTTGAATCTATACTATTTTCCATGAATAACGTCATTTGGCATGCATTGCGACTTTTTGGATTTTGTCTATGGCGTCTGAGGGCATCCAATCTAATAAATATTAAAGTTTATTAACTAAATATATATATTATATGTATGCATGTATATAAATTTTTTTTAAAAAATAATATTTATTTCTTTTAACCTTGAAAAATGTTTTGAGCAACCGTCACATTTATATGGCTTTACTTTTTCATGAATTTTTTGATGTCGTTTTAGATCATGATTTCTTGCAAATGCCAACTCACAAGTTGAACACTTGTATGGTCGATCTGTTGAATGAGTACGTTGATGAGATTTAAGATTGTATAATCTAGCAAATGATTTGTCACAATTAAGACATTTGTAACCAAGTGATTGATGAGTATCATCGTTATCATCATCATTATCACCCTGACTATTATTATTACTACTAATGCCGGTAATATCATCATCATTATTATTATCACCATTTAGATTTTCAGTTATAATGATAACACCATTATAATTATCGACAATTTCTTCGTTATTATCATTATTTTTAAAATCTGTTATATCGTCATTTGATGGTGATATTTTAAATCTTTTATTTGGATGTGAATTATTTGAAAATGATATTATTTTAAAATTTTCATCCATAAATTGTTGTGTAGAAATATTACTAGATTCCAGATGAATGATTGAATTATTTATATTATTATTTATTTCACCATTTGTGTTATAGTTTGTACAATCACTATAATTTTTTTGTTGTATTATGTTATTGTTATTGCTATTACTACTATTGTTGTTGATAGATGTTGCCGTTGTAGATATTAAGAAAGCTTGAGGACCAGCAGAAAAAGATAAAGTTGGGATAAAAAATTGCAAATTTGTAGATAATTCGGGACTGTTGATATTTTGATTAAATGAAATATCATGATGAAATATTTTATTATTATTATTATTGCTAATGTTAGTATTGTTGTTATTATTTTCATCATCGCCATCATCGGCTTTATCATTTTCATTTCTTGAATATTTATGATTTATTGATGATGAACCAGATGAATTAAATATGTTGGGAGAATTGGGCAATGAAGGGTTTGTATGAGTTGAGATTGTTGGGAATGGTAATAATTCTTTTTCGACATTTTGTGCCTGTATTGCTACAGAATGAAGTAAAGCAGTATCAACAGTTTTATTCCAATCTAAAGAAATATTTAAATGTTGCTGTTGTCGTTCTGTAGAAGATGTAGTAGAGTCGTCATGATCAAGTTGAGACTGTGACATTTTATCAGTTAATCCTCCTAGATCAGCATTAAAAAAGGTAGGGTGATGCTCCGCTAATATGTTTTTTACATTAAATCTATTAACAACATCATCATGATCATTTATGAAATGGCTCGAGCTAAGAATATAGTCAAATCTTTTTTTACACTGATACTCATTACGACCGGGAATTGTAGAAGCTATCTTTTCCCAATTTTCATAACCAAAATTTTTTACACCAATTTTTAATAAACTATCATCTTCAGAAGTCCATTCTGCTAATTCAAATTGAGAATTGAAATCTTCTATAATATTAATATTATTACTATTTGGATGGATTATTATCAGCATCAAAAAAACAAAAATGATGGGGAAGATAGTTTTCCTAAAAAAGAATTTTTAAAAAAATTAATGTTAGAGGCCAATGGTTACTCTTTAGCAAGTCACGTCATGTGGGGATTGTGGGGCATTGTGCAGTCCACGCAAAGCCAAATAGAATTCGACTATCTGAAATTTGCGTGGCAAAGGCTTAATGCATTTAGGACATCAAGGACTGAAATATATAATAAAATTAAGGATTGGAAACGAAACTTAATTCATATTTAATGATTTATTATTTACCAACGTTATTGTTATTGTTTTTTTATTCAGAATTATGTATATACATATTTTTAAATAAAAAAAAATTGTATAAGCCACTAAATTTTTTTATACATATTTTAATTTTCCAAACCTTTCGGAAAAATAATATTAATACATTATAATAAAGTAAACTTCCTTTTAAAGTAACCAAGATTTTTAGTA